ATCGATTGACCGTTTGGTTTACGCAATATAATTATCGAAAATTCATAAATTTATATAATTTAAAATAGTTAAAATGGAAAATATATAGTTATGCTTTAACTATTCATGCACAATGCAATCAATCAAGTGAGACTATATACCGTCAAAAGATTGTGTTCTAAAATGGCCCGTTTTATAGCGAATAAACTTTTTATAGAGACTGTCGCGCGACAACAACCTTAAAAAAAGTCAAAATTTCCATGTTTATTTCTGTATTTTCAAAAATTGGAAAAAAAAATAAATAATTTGTATGTGATAAGAAAAATCATGATAAAAAAATTACTTTCGCCGGAAATGGTAGACCAGCCCCTGGAGCTGGGGTAGAAGAAAAATTTTCAATTTTTCCCGTCTTTGAGAATTTTTCTATTATCTATGGATGGAATCCATAATGCGAAGAAAATTCTGAATATCATATCTCAAATATCGAAACAAGTTTTCCCAGACGGTGTGACAAGTCACCGGTGGATTTGGAAGTCCTTGTTACGAACGTGAACTGATACGTTATTAGATTGCACCCGTAAAGTTTACAATCCACCATTCAACAATATATACGTCGAGACGTATTCTCCAGCTGGAGAAAATCTCTGTTAGTTACGTTTGAGTGAGTTCTACTTGAACTGAATCTAATCCTCTCGAAACTCGTCGGGCGAATAATGTACCACTCGATTGTTGAGTTCTTCATTTGAAGAATCCTCGTTGTTATTCCAGCCGTTTATATTTCAATTCCAATATTTTTTTTTCATTATACGGTTTTAGCAATTAGTTCAGTTAACCCTGATCCCTTGGCTGTCGATGAAAAAATACCAATCGATGAGAAAAAATGGCTGGGAAAATATATAAAAATGTTTAAACACGATTGAGACCGGCAGATACGTTAATTAATTAAAAAGTATGGTTGTTTATGGGCTGAGCATTCAACTGAAAAGAAATTGAGGAAATAATTGGGAAATTAAAAAATTGCCGAAAATGCAGAAAATGTACTGTTACTGCAAATTATTAAACAAATTATAGACATTATTAATTTTGCCCCCACCAAAAATATTCACGGAATTTCCGAGGGTTTGAAACCAGTAAGAAAATAAATTTAATATCCCTTAGCGGTGAATTACCCTGTTCTTACAACTCCTCAGAATTTCCTAATTACTTTTACAGATGTCTGATGCAGTAATCACGGTGAATGGGGTTGGCTGCCCACGACTTATTCGAAGATAATAACCAATCAAGGATGACCCTACATTGGGACAAATTGTCTCCAGCAGAATTTCAACAACTCCAGGATTTAGCGGCATGTAAGTTTTAAAATTGAGAAAACATACATAATTACCCCTTTCCCACAAACATTGGACTTCTTTCATTATTCTCCTGCTTTTTTTTTTATATCAACCCCAAAACCAAGTCCACTGATTAATTCTAATTGTTAATAACAATATTGCTGGACAATAATAACAACAATAACACCAACAACAACAACAACAACAACAACAACAACAACAACAATAATAATAATAATAATAATAATAATAATAATAATAATAATAATAATAATAATAATAATAATAATAATAATAATAA